ATCCCTGTGTTCCTGACTGGGACATGCTCTGGAGCCTGCCATGCAGCCTTAGACTTGAGCTCCTCCTATCGGAGCCTCCTTAGTTGATGAGGTGACCGGCATGCTCCACCACACCCAAGTGCAATTTCTCAATCTTAAAACATGATCAAACAATTCTGCTTTCAGATTCATTGCAGACCATTCAAGTCCTGGAGCTGCCGGCTTCTGCCTTGGGTATCGATGATGACAGTGCCCTCAGGAAACCCTCCTTCCCAGCCTCAGTCAGCTCAGCTTTCTGCTACATTGCTTACATGGTCCCAGCTGTTTTCTCCCCCTGTCTCTCTCTGCCTCCTATTTTTCTGACCAACAACACTGCCATCTATCTACCCAGGCCTCCAAGCTAACAATAACAGAGGAGTGCTGGCTCCTTTGTGTCCCTGGACCACTTCCTCTCCTTTATCCCACACTCCATATCGCCTCAGAAGGCAGCAAGTACCTGCATAGTTGGGATCCGGGTCCTCTGCCTCATCGGGACTGTCAAGGGGCTCCAAGTAGGATGCAGGGACCCAGCCTCTCTTTGTCTTCATCTGGCAAAACCACCAGCCTATGGCAAGAGCACAGAGAGATAGGTGAGGGGTGGTACCTGGCAGCCTTCTTCAGCCATGAGGGTGATAATGACATCGAATGCTCATATTCAGCAATATTCCCAAATTCCACACCCAAATCCCACCCTGGGAGCATGAGCTCAGAGCCCTTTGTGATGAGCAGGTGGGACAGCACCTCTCAATGCAACCCAGGCATGGGATAGGTCTGAGCTGGGGTCCCAAGGCTGCTAGGGCCTCTGCATGGAACTCAAGACTCTGTCACCCCAGGACGTGGTAGGGGAGAGATGGGGGGGCTGACCGCTCTCGCTTTTCTCCACTACGTCCACCACGTCTCCAGTAGCCACAGTCATTTCCGTGCGTGAGCTCTTCTCATAGTCAGCGATGGCACGATAGGTTTGAAGGATGATGGGACCTGTGATGTCTGCACAGAGTGGGGACAGGGTGAGTGGATACAGCAAGGAGGGCAGTCCCGTTGTGGAATATTATTCTAATTAGGCAAAGATGTGTTACATTTGCTGATGCTGTGGAATATGACTTTAACTGTATAAAGGTGTGTTACATTTGCTGATGCTGCATTTGTTTACAATGGAAGGATGTGTGCTTAATTATGTAAAGATATGTTGTATCTGTTTCACCTTGCCTGCCTAAGGTACCTGATTGGTCTAATAAAGAGCTGAACAGCCAATAGCTAGATAGAGAAAGGATAGGTGGGGCTGGCGGGCCTAGAGAATAAATAGGAGAAATCTAGGCTTGAGAAGTGAAAAAAGAACGAAGAGGAGAGAGAAAGAGGCGTGTACCCGGGCCAGAAGCCAGGCGGCCAGACATAGAGACAGCAAGGAAGAAAAGGCAAAAAGCCCTAGGACAAAAAGTGGATAAAGAGAAACGAGTTCATTTAAGTTAAAAGAGCTGGCCAGAAACATGGTTAAGCTAGGCCAAGCATTCAAAACTAGTATGTCTCTGTGTTGTGATTTGGGAGTCTGGTACACAGTTCCCTGTGGGGGACACAAAGGAAAACATGGGCAGCTGCCTAGCTGCTGGCTCACAGGAGTGGTCCCACTACAAAGTGAATCTGCCAAGCTCACAATGTACTGAGCATCTCGAATCTTTCACACAAGGAGGGTGCTAGGAACTGTGTTCTCCACGGATGAGGTTAACATGCTCCCAGATCGCCTTCTATGGCTTTCGAATGCATTGTGTGTTTTGAGACAGGGTCTCACTGTGTAGCTCTGGCCTGGAACTCACTATGTAGATTAAATTGGACTGGAACTCATAGATCCACCAGTTTTTTCCTCCCAAGTGCTGGCACTAAAGGTGTACGCCACTACCTGTTTGTTTTTTGTTTTTTGTTTTTGTTTTTTTTGTTTTTTTTGACACAGGGTTTCTCTGTGGCTTTGGAGGCTGTCCTGGAACTAGCTCTTGTAGACCAGGCTGGTCTCGAACTCACAGAGATCTGCCTGCCTCTGCCTCCCGAGTGCTGGGATTAAAGGCGTGCGCCACCACTGCCCGGCTCCTGTTTGTTTTTTGAATCATGGTCTTGTGTAGCCAAGGATGGCTTCTAATTCACCTTGTAGCCAAGGATGACTTTGAACTCCTGATTCTTCTGAGTTGGGCTGCAGTGGTGAGGACACACCCTAACCTGCAAGGTGACCTCCAAAACTCCTTCACTCAGTGTTGTTCTGTACCCACCCACCCCACACTTGAGGTCCTTGATCATGTCCACAGCTGCTGGGTGCCTCCCACCCCTGGGCACATGCAGCCCTCTCACCAGCTACATTATTCTTGGCATCTTTGGGCATCAGGTATGTCTCTGGCTTCTTCACCCTGGAGAAAGAACAGGCAAGACAGAGCAGACCCTCAGCTTCCCACTGCAGAAGGAAAGACTTTTAGGTTAGACCTGCAGGAGGAGTTCCCAAAAGCAAAAGGAACCAGGAGAAAGATGATCAACACAGAGAGAAGGCCCAGCCCTGGGAGGTGGGGGTGTGGCACAGTCTTTGGAATGAGGGGTTGTCTACACAGCCAGACTTAGAAACAGGGACAGAGGAAGCATAGACGACTGCAGACCCTAGGGAGATGGCAAAGGCCTTCTCCACCAGCTGGAGATGCTTGGCCTGGGAAGGGTCTCCCACCAGCTCTCTGGGAGAAGTGGGGGGCTTCTACGGCCTCCAGCATGCCCCATAGTGACATCGTTGGCCAGGTCCCAGGTTTTAGAGCATTGTGTGCCAGTGGGTCCCACCCTCTGTGTATTGTCCTCCTGTGCGCTCCCCAAGGAGGTAGCTGCTCACTGGCTGTCCGTGGGCAGCTTCAGGTCATCAGGCCGAACTTTGAAGAAGTCCAACAGGTGTGGGCAGCGGGAGATCTTGACGGGCAGTCCCATGAGGGTGTTGAAGTACTCTGTGAGCGTTCCCTGACGACTCTCAGCGGCACGCTGCCCATCAAACCATCTGGGTGCTGGGTGGGGGCACCAGAAACCCATGAGCACACACACAAGGTCAAGTCCAAATGTATGTGGGAAGGGGTTTTGGAGAGCAGGGCTGGGGCAGGGGACCCTGCTGACGGGCTTAGTCGTGCTCACCGGGGAGGTGTGGGATGATTCTGTTCTCTGTGTTGATCTCGCCTGCCTCGATTGGGAACATCTCCTTTAGCATTTTCTAGAGAGGAAGAAAACCTGGGCTGGGGCTCCGAGGCACAGTGCTTACCTAGCACTTGTGAAGTCTTGGGTTCCACCCTGAGCATTGCATAAACATGGGTGGGGGTGCAGTCCTGTCACCCCAGCACTCAGGAAATGTGAGGCAGGAGGATCAAAAGTTCAAAGTCGCTCTCAGTGGTGTAGTGAGTGAGTTTGAAGCCAGCCTAAGATACGTGAGAAAAAACTGGGGGACATGGTACTCGAAAAGATCTAAATTGGAGCCGTCCAAAACACTCACTGGGAGGGGAAGCCATTGCCGCTCCCCCTCATGCCGCCTTCTGCCTAACACAACTCTTTCTCCCATCTTACTTGGTTTACATTGTTCATATTGTTCACAGCGCCACGCTGTGGACGCTCCAGGCTAATCTTGGCCCAGTGCCTTTGCATAGGAAATACTGAGCTGGTGCACGCCTTTAATCCCAGCACTCGGGAGGCAGAGGCAGGAGGA